CATCTATTTTATTACTGAAGTTTCAAACATCTGACGGTGATAGAAAAGTTAGATAGATGTTTTATTTACCTTTAGCAGCCTGTTCTCTTTTTCCTTTCATGCCTATTCTCTTCCTAAATTATAATTGTGCATTCCATTTTTGTATGAATTACTCTCATGTTCTTCACAGCATCATGGCTGGTAAACAAAAGAATGCAAGAGTCTAAATAAGAGAAAACCTTGGATTTCTTTCAACCATAATTCTTATACTATGGGTTGTTGTGGCTGTTATTGTCTCAGCTAGGCATAGGCCCTAATTTAGATAATCATAGGATAAAACCCATAGTGACATGCTGTTTCAAACAAGATACTGATACCCCTTCATATACTCAGGGCCTCAGAGACACACTGCATTTGACATCAGCCAGTTGCCTGGAATTGAACTCTATTATTTCTGATGTCAGGCTCAATGTAAACAGAAAAGGGCAAATCAAAATGACAACCATCAAATTTCTGCTGTTTTTGTTTCACCAAGCAAAATGGCCTTATTAGAAAAAAAAATCCTTTTATTAAATGGATTGAGATAATAAAAATGTATATCATGTTGTTTATATAAAAATTTGTTAGATGATTATTAAATGGTTTCATTCGCTAAATGATTTGTGTAAATGACTCATGCTAAAGAATGCTATAGCATTTCAAAGGCCCCATTCTTGTCTCCATGATGAAAGAGAGAAAGAGAGAGAGAGAGAGAGAGAGAGAGAGAGAGAGAGAGAGAGAAATGCAGAGTAGAAAAGAAAAAAGAAAAGGCAGAAGAATATTAAGCATTATGGTCTTGGAGGAATATGAAGCATACATACATACATGAATGCATGCATGCACACATACATATATTGAAGCCATACATGATGACTCTGTGCTGCCAAATTCCCTGACAGGAGAAATCAAGTCATAAAAAGCCAGTTTTCAATGGCTTTCTTATGCAATTATGCAAGGGAACTTTTTTTTGTTATTGTTGGTTTTTCTTGTTTTTGAGACAGGGTTCCTCTGTTTAGCCCTGGCTGTCCTGGAACTCTTGCTGTAGACCAGGCTGGCCTCAAACTCATAGAGATTCTCCTGCCTCTGCCATCTAAGAGCTGGGATTAAAGAAAGGTGTGTGCTACCCTGCCCCACTCAGAGGAACATTTTCATAGTGTTAACTGAAGGATAGGAAAAAACACATGGCTGGATGCACTTCCAAATAACTCACCGATGAGGTAAAAACTACCCTTCATCTTTCTAGAAAGTAGCTGATGTATCCCTGCCTCTTGGTGATTTTGCAGGGTCATTGGCAATCACTGCATGGCCATAACTGAGCCTGAGAAACACATGAATACAAATTCAAAGACACTCATCTAATGGCATTCAGCGAAGCACCCTGGCTTACAGAGTGCATAGTCGGTGGTCCAGGGTCTCACGCGCAGCCACTCACCTGATAGTGCTTGGAGAGTTAGCTGCTAGAACCTGACAGCTGCTCTTCCTTGGAACCATCCCCCCAGCAGTGACCAGCTGGCTCACAAACACTGAGCACTGTGTGTTCCCCAGCATCAATCAATTCCAGCAACTAATTGTGGTGCATTTTGTCTCTGAACATCTCCCAGCAATCAGAAGGAAGTAAACCTTCCTCCCGGGGAGACTACATCCCTAATCAGCGTTTTTACTTTGATCTTTCACCTGAGAACATTTTACAAATTAATCTTGTTCACTAAAACCCTCGTCTTCTGTTCTTTTTCCAAGTAATTTTCACCTAAGACACACAGGTACCATTAAAATTTTAAGCTGAATCTGAAAGGAAAAAAATATAAATGGAAGAGTACAGGGGCGGGGCGTGGGGGTGGGGAGAAGGATGGAAGAAAGTGTTACCAAGGCTTTGGAATGAACTGAATACAATCCTATGATTTATTTTTGATGGGTTTGAGTCCTCCTCCTTATCTTTACAATGACAATGATATTCCATATTTCACTTATAAGGGCAGTGTTCCCTTGAGATGAAGGACAGTTTGCTTGTGTTTTAATGTTTGTTTTCTACTGCTTTTTTCTTAGATGCTGATTTTATAACAGAAAACAAAGCTCTGCATAAGTCTACCAAATTTGCCCAGATTCATTTTCCACCAATCTATCTTTTTCCATTACTAGCATTAAAACCATGGGACAGTTTGAAAAAGTTGAATGAATCTCAAACTATGAATTACCAGGGTTTTTTTAATCAAAGTTTTATGAAAAATATTGTTTGATTGAGTGGTTCCCTTGTTTTTCATATCGTAACTGATCATTCTACAGACAGGAAGCATTTTGCAAGAATCACCTTTGAACCTTAGTGTACCACTTAGTGATGGTACAGATCTACTCGGATACAATTTGTCTCTTTTGACTTGATGCAGAGCTTCTCCTCATGGCATCAGAGCCATATGGAACTGGCAAGGTAAAATCTGTCACCTCCCAGAAGCTGTTATTTTTTTGGTACCTCTTAGTAGCTAGGTAAATTCAAAGATTATTTGCTTTAAATCAATTTTTCAATATTTAAAATCTGTATAATATTATTTATGTCAAGACTATATGAAAACCTAATGAAGTAAATACCTTCAGTACAGTACGTCTTGAATAACTATTTTCTAGTAGACATAACCATATTACATATAAAGTTTAGACTCTATCATCATCATAAGTCAGTTATCAGATTCATACAGATAAACAAAAGAACTAAGTTTTTATATTTCCCCCAAAGTGACAATCACAGTAAGTAGATGCCTACTAAAAGCCTAGATCCATCGCTAATATTTTCTTGTTTATTAGGGGGACATAAGAAGATTCAATAATAAGAAAACAGCCAACTCTAGCAAAAGACTTGATTAAAAGAAAGACCATAAATTTGATCAATATGCCAATAAATGTCAGTTTAGCCATTGTCTTCTGCATAGCTATCTAGCTTTACTAGTTACCTGATTTCCTCAGTGAAAATTTGCCTCATATCCTTCATTCAAATGAGAAAATATAGTTACACCATAGAATTCATTTTTTAAAGTTACAAATCTTTACATAAATCTAAGTAGAAATTTCACAGAAGAATTGAATTTGTATTTTAGAGAAACTGTGATTTCTGAAGTTGACAAATGGAAATTGCAGGAAAAATAAATAAGAGATAAAATCTCTAATGAAATGTGATAATGAAATAAAGTAGGAGGGCAAGACAGAACCCAAAATCAAACAAAACATGGCTCTAGAAAAGTTATTCTAAACCAATGGTAGAAAAGCTACTATTGATAGTAAAGAATAATAAGACATAATTCTAAGAATTCTTCATAAAATTTCCTGCCATTTTGAAAACGGACATTATTACAAATTTCTTCTATGTGTCTGGATTCTGATTCTGTGGGACACGTTCTCCTGGTGGCCCCCATTCCATCTATTAATATTTCCTCCCCTTCTTCCCCTGGGTTCTTGGTTCTCCAACAGGAGTGACCTGATGGAGACCTCCAATTTAGACTTTCTGCATAATGTTTGCCTGTTGAACTCTGTATCCACTCCCATCTGTTGTCAGAGGAAACCTGTATGATGACTACTAGACAAGGAACCAATCTATGAGTATAGCAGAATGTCTTTAGGAATCATTCTGTTGATTTGTTTTTCGGTATTGTTTGGTTCTCCCTAAGTCTCTTGGCTGTTCAGTCTCTGGTTCCTGAACATCCAGGTAGTATAAGGCATAGCCTCCCTCTCCTGGTGAGGACCTCAAGTTAAACCAAATAATGGCTGGCCACTCCTCCAAGTCCTTTGCCACTATTGCCCCAGCACCTCTTACAGGCAGGAAAGATTGTAAGTGGAGGGTTTTGTGACTGGATTGTTAACATGATTTTCTTTCCATGGCCTGCAGAGCACCTTCTGCAAAAGAGAATGTAGGGGTGAAGGATCGAAATATGTACCAACTCGACCTTTATACCTTTAAAGAGCTGTGTGGATGTTGTTCTCGGGAATGGGGCCCCCACTGTCAGTTTTCAGAGAGCAAACCTTTGGCCTAACATCAGCTTGGGTTGTTTATGAATCTACACAGGACTTCCTTGCCCAACAACTCAACTGAATGTAAACCAGTCCCACCACTGGAAGCCTTTCCTGGCTACAAGAAATGGGCAGTGCTGACTCTGTATCCCCTAGTGAGGAGTTCTCACTAGGGTCACCCTCATAGATTCCAGGAAGTTTCTTCTGCACTAGATTTCTACACCATTCCCCAAATGCGCCCCCCCCCCCAATTCCAGAGTCTTTCCTGGCACTCTCTCTCTCTCCACCCCCCCAACCTGGTCCCTCCACTTCCCATCCCCTCCCTTCTTGACCCCAGTCCACTCACAGATTCTATTCTATTTCTTCTTCCCAGGAAGATCCATTCTTCCCCCTATAGCCCTCTTTTTTACTGAATCATTCTGGGTCTGTGGATTATAACCTGATTATCATTTACTTAACAGCCAATATTCACTCATGAATGAGTACATACTGTATTTATCTTTATGTGTCTGGGTTATCTCATTCCGGATTTTTTTTTTCTAGTTGAATCTATTTGCCTGTTTCGTGATATCACTTTTTAACTACTAAGTAATAACCCATTGTTCAAATATGCCACATTTTCTTAATCCATCCTCAGTCAAGGGACATCTAAAAATATGGAACACTTCAAGAATTTGTATTGCTGGAGTTTTCTTTCCAGCTTGGTTCTGCCTAGCCCAAATAAAAACCTGTTGACTGATGACTAGGGCTTCTTACTGGCTTACTCTCTAAATTATCAACTCATAACTATTAATCTATGTATTTCCACATGGTCTAGGCTTACTGGAGAATGCCTGGACCTGTTACTCTTTTGACTGCTACATGGCATCTCTTCCTGGCAGGCTTTCCCTGCCTACCTTTCCCAGAATTCTCCTCATTTACAAGTTCTGCCTCTCTTCCTGCCTCTATTTGTTAAACAGTGTTTTATTCACCAACCAATAAGAGAAACATACATACAGGAGGATATCCTCCAACAATTTGTGTGTCATCTTTGCCTAAGGGCCATATTAATCTGTACTATTCCAATTTTAACATATGTGCTGGCGAAGTAAATAGAACTTCTTATTCTTACACAATAATCTTAAAAAGAAAAAAAAAACATAAAAACCTTTTCCAGTAGATATCATGCCCAGAAACTATCTAATTCTCTTGACCACTAATGCATTCCTTTTCAGTAAAGAATATGTTATATGAATCATCATCCATCTCAAGGAGTGGCAACTATATTGAATTTGAAATGTGTAAACAGACTCATGCTTCTATCCACATAGGAATGTGACATCTCTGAATTGTAGTTTCCTCAAAAGCCACTGGGCTATAGACTGTGAATTGTTCTCTGTGGCTCCTGGCTCTGTCCTTTGAGCCCCTGGCTCATTAACTCACTCAATTCTACAAGCAGCATATGGTTGATAAAATTAGTAAGGTACAACCACCGGAGGCCCCATAAACAGACAACAGGTACTTAAAAACAATAACAAAAAAACCCTGTATATAAGAATGACAAGAAAATCCAAATGACATGTACAATATCACTAGGAGAATGGAAAGTGGGATATCATATCATAACCAGTAAAATTGTTCTAACCAGTAAGTCACACAATAACCAATGTTTATAAGGGGGATTGGAAAGTCTGAATTCTCACACATTGTTGATATGAACATGAAATGGTACTACAATAATAATTTGGAATTTCTAGCATATCAGACATATTTTACCACATCACCACAATTTCACTTCTAAAAATGAGTATAGGACATGTGCTCAGTGACCATAGTTGTTATATTTGTAGTAGGCAAAAATTTAATATAGCCAAATATCCATCAACTGGAAAATAGAAATAAAGTATAACATATACATTTAAAAATATTACTTAGAAATATTACAGTGCAATACTAGCATACAAAATGGATAAGTCTTTGAATCATGGTAAGTAAAAGAAACTATGCATACAGGATTAAACAGGATGTCATTCATTACATTCCTTATAGTAAAGGCAAACATTTTTTAGAAGAAAGCTGATGGTTTCCAATAACCAGTACCTGAAGCATTGGAACCCAAGCTTAGGGGAACTCCAAAGAGATGTCTAGGAGTGAGAGAAATATTTTATATATCTATTGTTGAGATAGCTACATGACTGTACATTTATAATAATTCATGCTATTATAATCCTTAAAGTCATTGATGTTTCTTGAAAATAAATTATATTTCAATGGTTAAAAATACAACTTATTGACAAATATTTAGGGCAATTATCTAGACACTCATATTCATTAATTTGCATTCTAATCTTATTTATTATAATAATAAAATAATGAGCTGTATTTAGAACACTCAGAACCTACCACTCTCAAACTCTAAATAGGTCCATTATCTCCTCATGTGAACAGCATTAACCTGGTGGCTTTTCCAGTATTGAAGGTGAGGTGAGGAACCAGGTGAATATACTGTGAAGGAAGCCAGCTACAGAATTACTATACTCACATGAGAAATTAAGAGTCTTAGAGGCTTGATTTGAAAGACTGTTTTGATTTTCTAAATTATTAATGACTTTCATGATTACTTACTTGCTTGCCTGTTTAGGTATTTACCCTTGGCGTATATCCTGCAAAGTCATTCTATTCTGAGTCATGTGGTTCAAATGATGTATTTTAAGACATTTATAATAGTTATATTAAAATTTAAAATGCTTTTTTGAGACAGAGGGATACAAGAAATCATTATTGCCAGCCGTCAATGAAAATTAACAGATTGCTGTCACTTGGTCCAGTATTATTCTATTTCTGTTTCTCTCACTTTGCTAAAAAAAGAAAATACAACATATCTTTAAAGTTACAGACTCACTTTCTCTATTCAGTACTAGAGACCAAACCTAGGCCTTGGCCCCTAGGTGGTAAGCATTCTAGCACTAAACTAAATCTCCAGCAAACTCCCAGCTCTGGTCATGTGCCTTATTAGCCTTATCTCATGTTTTTCAGGCAATAATAGACTGTTTCTCTCTGGAACTGTAAGTAAAAAATAAGCCCCTTTCTGCCTAAGTTTCCTTTCGTCATTGTATTTTATCACAGCAACAACAAAAATAATGAATGCAGATGAATTCTGATGGAAAGCTTCAAAGGGAAACAATCTATGCAGTTGAACAGAATAATCTGAAATTGATAGATAGTCTTGTCCATGAGTCAATGGGGTAGATTCATTTTCCAAAGCACAAAGCTTATTTTAATTTACTCACTTCCATTTCAAATAGCATTCTCTTTCCATCAGAGAAAGGTGAAGAGAAATACACAATGTTGCACCAATTCATGGGCAATCTATTTGAATTCTAAAAGAAAAGCAAATATTTGTGGCATCTATAAAGCACACTATAAAATCCTGAAGAAAGGAAGCTCTGAATGACATCCTTTTTACAACCACATGAACAGCTGGCTCTTGAATGGGAGTTTGCTTGAAATACTATGCCTTCCTAGATACTGTGTTTACTTGCATGATTCAAGGAGATCACATACTGTAGAGGCAGCAACTGTTACCATGGTATGTGGAAGACGTTCACTAAAAGGGTTCTTCCAAGAAGGCAGTGGGCACTTCTTTAGAACAGTGGGAAAGCACAGCATTAAAATTGCATGATGTAATGACATCATCACACATGAGAATAGCTAAGTAGACTGGTGAGCTTATAACTTTCTAATAGTTGTTATCTAGAAACTCAATCTAGAATGAGGAAGGAAGGAAAGAAGGAAGGAAGGAGGGAGGAAGGAAGGAAGGAAGGAAGGAAGGAAGGAAGGAAGGAAGGAAGGAAGGAAAGAAGGAAGGAAGGACTATTTGCAATTTGCAATACACCTTACTCCAAACTGCTTTGGAATCTATTCCATTTTCTCTCTGTAAAAACATGCCCCCAAATTGTGAACTGATTGGGAATTCTCACCAGTACTGATAAAAGACATGAGGCAATAGCAGAGGAGTAGGACTAGATGTCATAGGAGTTTAGTGAGCACTGAGGACCTGAAAACACACGTCTGCTTTTCCCCATCATCCCCAAACACTATTACTTAATTTCTTCTCAAGATCAGTCTTTGCTTTTTTAAAACCTTGTTTACTTTTCTTATTTTCTCTATTCCCATATCTACTTACTTTCTTAATTATAACTTCATTGCACTTAATTCACAAATAAAAACATCACAGTCATGCTAAGGAAGTCTCTCAAACACTCCTCAGTCCAAATTCTGTGTATCTCAGTGAACTATAGAGTTCAGGTGGCCATTCTAAGGCTGTGGAGCTTTGACTAGAGTTTTATATTTTTGTTATTAATCATAATTTTATTAATCTATTCACCAAAACAAAAGAGAGAAAATCAGGAGGGAGGTAAAGGTAGAAAAAATAAACTTTATCTTCTCTTCCATGACTCAAGTGTCCTTTTGTCTACATTCCATCCTTCCCCATCACCTAATATTACACTTTCTTGATCTCTTTTTCTAAAACTTTTTACTATATCCACATATGTGTGCATACATCACAGCTTAATATGTGGAATAAGAAGAGGAAATACCCATTTTTCTGTATTTTGGTGACCTCACTAATATTATACTTTTTAAGTTCATAAAATTTCCCCTCAAACTTTGTAATTTAACTTTCTTTACAGCTAAGTAATATTCCACTTCTAAATTGTGCGATGTATTTAGTATTCATTCGTTTGTTGATAAGAATTTACTTTGGTTCTATTTCCTTTCTATTGTAAATACAGCAGCAATAAATGTAGATGTACAAAGAAATCTACTGGTATTGTGTGGAATTCTCTGGGTATATGCCCAGGAATGAAATAGCTGAGTCACATGGAAACTCTATTTTTAAATTTTTGAGAACCTCCAAACAGATTTCCATAAAGGCTGTAGTAATTTGAGCTCCCACCAGCAGTGAACAAGGGTGTCTCTTTCTTCATATCTTCAATGCTTGTCAGGCTTCTTCATGGTAGTGATTCTGATTGGAGAGAGGCAGTATCTCAAAGTAGTTTTAGTTTGCATTTTTTATTGATGACTGGGGCATTAAAACTTTCAAAAGTAGTTATCAGCCACATATGTTTCCTTTTTTGGAAAGTGTTTGTTCATTTCAGGATCCCATTTGTTGATGGGTTAGCTTTATTTCCTTGCTGTTTGGTTTTTCCAGTTCTTTGTAATTTCTTGAAACTAGCTCATTGCTATAACTATAGCTGGTAAAGATTCTCTAGCATTTATTGCATCACATGGTTTTCATTTGCTGTGCAGGAATTTTTAGAATTTCACATAATTCCAACTGTTAATATTTAGGGCTAGTTTCTGTGCTATTGGAGTGCAGTTCAAAACGTCCTACTCAGTGTTTTGAGTACCATTCACTATGGCTTCTTCTAGGAGCTTCAGATTCTTTTGGGGAGCAGGGGTTATATTAAGATCTTTGATCCACTTGGATTTGATTTTTGTACAATGTGGAAAATATTGTACTAATTTCATTCTTCTGCAGGTACATACCCGATTTTGCCAGCACCATTTGTTGAATAAACTATTGGACTGAAAAGGGAAACTCAATGGAGAAAATGTTCCCATCAGTTTCACCTCAAGGAGAGCCTACAGGGACACTGTCAGGTGAATGATGGTTGTGGGGGCATCTAGATCATTAGGAGAAGTGCCACATCTGGGCAGGGAGCTCTAGGTTGTATGAGAAAGCAGGCAGATCCAGTAGTGGAGAACAAGCCAGTAATCATCCTTCTTCCAGGGTCTCTGCTTCAGTTCCTCCCTCCCAGTTCCTTCCCTGACTTTCTTCCCTGACTGCCCTTCATGAATGATTTTAGAGTTTAAGGTGAAATAAATCCCCACCCGAAGTTGCTTGTGGTCCTGGGCTTTATTCAGTAACAGAAAACAAACTAGGATGGCTCTTTTCCATTTCATTTTCTTCCTTCCTTCCTTCCTTCCTTCCTTCCTTCCTTCCTTCCTTTCTTTCTTTCTTTCCTTCTTTGTCACAATTATGTGTTCATAGATTTTCTGGTTTATTTCTAAGTCTTCTATTCTGTTCCACTGGGTCTGTTTTTCTGTATTTATGCCAGTACCAGAATGTCTTTATCATTAAAACTCTGTAGAATAATTTGAGGTCTTGTATTGTTTTACCTCCAGCTGTGTTTTCTCTCTTTAAGATTGCTTTGAGTATCCGTGGTCTTTTGTGATCCTGTGCGAATTCTTGAATTGTTCCTTCCAGATCTGTGAAATACAGCATTGGAATTTTGAAGAGGAACACATTACATCTGTGGGTTAGTAGTTTTCACAGTACAGCTGTTTTTGTGATATTAGTTCTGTCAATCCAGGAGCATTAAAGGTCTTTCTATGATCTCCTGTCTTCTTTGATCTACTTTTTAAGTGTCTTGAAGGATTTATAAATGTGTGACTGTTGAAAATAATATTTAATATCTTAAGATCCACCACATAAAAATATTAGAATTTACTGATAAGTATGTGAGAAAGGGGAACTAACAAAGCTTTTGATAGTTTTATATGCTACTTATCCTAACAGCAACAATATAGGGCTGTCACACATGTATATGTGCATACACACACGTACACACACACATACATACACACTTTTTTTTTTTTTTGGAAATGTGGCATTTTTCTTTAAGTCATCTACCTTTCCACCTCTATTCATTGGGCCCTTTTCGGTGTCCATCTTCCTGAGAGGGTTCTGTAGCCCTGGATGAGGAGTTGTGGTTAGTGAGGTCTTAGGGTATATCTCTGATCTACTGGGTCTGGTCTAGAGGGAATAATACCTCCAAGTTCCACACTGGGAAGGAGCATATGATTGTATATATTGTAGCAAATTAATTACCTAATATAGATTCCTTCTCAGCCTTGGAGGCTACAAGTTGGGCACATGACTGTGTCCTAACTTGATTCCAATAACTCAGATCCATATAAGTAAATCTATAGGTGAAAAACACAGAAAGATCAAATACCCTATAGATGCTTTTCATTATTTAACAGTTGTAGTTAACCACATCAATGAAGACAAGGTGATAGAATAGGAAAACACTATCCCTTAAAAGTAAGTGAAAATTAGTTATGTAAGAGTGCTTAAATTCTTTAAAATATGTAGATTTCATAAACAAACATATAGAAAATAAAACACCTTAGAGTTAATAATTCATAATTTATTAAATCAGATTTGGATGCTGTTAATTTTTACATTATCTTGTATATTCGTGTAAACTCTACAATAAATACATATTACATATAATTTAAATACATATAGGAGAATTTTAGGGCAGAGAGAAATTTAATTTCAGGCCATGCCTCTCAAATTATGTGAATTTTGGATTGCTTTTCTTTCACTCCCAATGCCTCTTTTTCTACTTAAAACATGCAAATTGATGGCGGCTGTCCAGAGATCCAAACACCATAAAAATTCATGACATTATCAGAACTTTAAAATGAAGATCTAATGGTTAATTAAGTGCATAATACATATGTATGAGTATATTGTATTTTTTAATAGAACACACAGCTGCTTGCTAAGAGGTTGAAATCCCACTTAAAAATGTTTAATCCTATGCTAATGATCTAAAGAGAAAAGGAAGTGGCAGGCAATAACATTTTGCTTCAATATTAAATATTCTTAGTGCCACTGGACTCTCACTATTTCAGTGTTAATAAAAGTATTTTTCTCTTGAAATGGCATCCTTCACTGTAGTAGTGTTCTCATGTCTTAAATTGCCTTTATCGAAGAACTCTGCATTGCTGACTTGAAGAAATACAAAACAAAATAAAACAAACAAATAGAATGAATAAGAAACCAACAACAACAAAAGCAAAACTCTTTTCTTCTGTGTTGTCAAAATTGTGTGATGGACTGAATGCAATTAGCAGTATTTCTATTCAGTCTCCCAAGAACTGTCAGGTCACCTGGCCGTCCTCTGCCTGCCTGTGAATGCTTTCTTCTTCATTTGGATATAAAAACCTCAAACAGAACTGGATAGATCTCCTGCCATCAGCCCACATCCTTCCATGTAACTCCTGAAAGTCTAACTGACTGCTCCGCAGCCAGCCAGGCTCTTTGCTCCTCTCAGAAAACAACCGATGGGAACACTGTTTGCTTCAGGCTCCTTGAAACCTTAAGTGTCACAAGCCACACTGACTTGTTCCTCTCAGAAGAAGGAACTCGTGAGTGACTGGATTCTATGGCTTGGGTGCCAGCATTTTTCTCCAGCTTTTCCGTTCCCCTTTTGTTTCGCAGAAAGAAGGAAGCGCTTCTTCCCTGAGCTACTGGACTCTGGGAAAGCTTGATGCGTTTTTCTTCCCGGGGCCTAGGTAGAGGTCTCTGATCCAGATCCTCTCCTCCTCTAAATAAAGTGTACCAGCCATGAAGAATAATTTGTAGCGTAAATTAGCAACCATAAAACCTGGGTTCTGACTGATTTTTGCCCCCTTCTTTGCAGGGTTACATCTCTGACTAAAGCAATTAATGTTTGTGTTCCAAAATTTACCTTGCTAAAAGAATGTTAAGAGTACCTAAGTCATGGGTGTAGTCAGAATCAAACAAGTTTATACATACATACAGGTAATGCATGTCCATTTGTATATAATGCCACAAACAGTGCCTTGTATATAGTAAGGTAAGCACTATATAAATGAAATATTGTTAGTACCATAAAGGCATATAAAATTTCTAAGCACAAAGAAATAGACTTTCAAAAATTCTAGTTCTAGCCTGAGGCAAGAAAACTGCAGTGAGTTCAAGGAGAATTTTTGTTACAGTTTGAGATTCTATCTAAAAGCAAAATGCAAATATCCTGGTCCAATTGGCAGGGACACTGGGAAGGCATATTCAATGAGAAAGGACATCTTAGGAAGAAAGAGCCTGCCTGAGCTTGCAGTACCTGGGCACAGCTGACCTAAGTGTCAAGAAATTAATTAATGAACAACAGCAAAGACAGAAGGGGAATTTCCTAGGATGTTTTTGGTTAGGGACATTTAGGTCCAAGACATGGGTTGGCACCATGCTGAAATCATTTGTCTGAGGGATCAAAGCAGCATGCAGAAGAAGAGCTAAGAATTCCTTAGAACTTGTCCTCACTTTTGAGATCTCCAGAGAGATAAAATGCTTGGACTGACTCAGAACAAACACTATTAACAGTTGATTTACTGGGCAGAAAGCTGTTACCTTTAGCCCTCCAGCTGGGATCCTGGTTGAGGTTCTGGCTGGAGGAAGGCTCCCATGGAAAAGCAACAGTTATTTCAGACAGCATTTCAGATGAAGACTTAATGACTCCTTAGGCTTCAGCCAGCCTCTGACTCAGTTCTGAATAGTATGCTAGCAGGTGGTGAGACAGCTCCTGGAAATGGCTAGGCTCTTGGCTTTATTCCAGTTGCAGTACTATAATTTTGTGCCTACAGCAAACCTTTCCCCAAATTACACCCACACTATAATCAGCTGCAGAGGCCTTTTGTGACTATTTATAAAGGGCACGCTTTAATTCACCCTTATAATTTAGCTAGAAGCATTTTCTGGAAAAAATTTAACAGCTATGCAATGCAACACTGCTTTTATTAAGTGCATAGTCTCCTTTATAAGTGTAGAATATTCCACAAAGCTACAAAACGCTAATACAGTTGCCACCAATTTCCTGTGTAAAAGTCTAACATGCCTCATTCCTCAGCAATTGAAAACAATATACAATATACAATATATAGAACTGTAAATTCTAAGTCAGGATGGGTGCAATGGAGCTAGAGAGTCTGTTTCTAACAAGCTGGCAGCACACGCCAGGGCAGACCACTGTGAGAAGTAACAGCTGGTGTCAGGATGGTAGTATCCGGAGAGAAATGTGCATCTGTCTAACACAGTGTGAACAACCACATCAACCAGTCCTTCTGGTGGTGATGAAACTCGGATTGAAGTTGAAATTGGGAAATCTGACCTTCACACTGTCAGTCTTGATCATCATTTCATTTTCATCATCATAATCAAAAATAAAGAACAAATATCCATGAGCAGAGTCATAAAAATGAATTCGCAAATAATCAGAGCCTCTATAGCCGTGCAGATGACACAAATGTACATATTTCTGTGTAAATAGCCCATCACTCTACTAAGAACCAAAACTATTCCCCAATTAATTTTAAACTTTCTATTGCATCTTATTTATTCATGTATTGGAGTGTGGGTATATAGTATATGGCATGCACTTGTCATGGTGCCCAAGTGTAGATCAAAGGACAACTTGAGAGAGTCTGCTCTTTCCTCCCATGGGATCAGATGATGGAATCAGAGCACCAGTCAAGTACCTTTAACCCATGAGCAATCTTGCCAGTCATTCACTCAGATTTAAGACAAGGAAAATCAGATGTTATTCATTTAAAAAAAAAGTCCTTTTCCCCACAATCCCATCCATACCTCATCAATAAAGTGAGAAAATTCAATCAAATTGTATGTATTTCTTTCTAGGTCTACACTGTCAATATATAACATATCTAATTATTTTAAATTAATGTGTGACATTTGTCTTCAACCTGAATCATGTGTTAACTGCATACAAGATTATTTCTTTGGATTATCCAAACACAATGAGATGAATGACAGAATTTTTTTCTTGTCATTCATCCATGTATTATCCCCATACAGTAACAACAGATGAAATGTACAATTTCAAATGTTTAAGAGAAATTAATACTTGCAATTAAAAATGGCTTGTCTACTAATAACTCTAGGTTTATTTTGTATTATTTCATATTTTGTGCAGAAACTCAATTTTCATACTACATTATCATGTGTCAACAGAATCATACAGGAGAAGAACACTGATAGTTTCCAACACTGTTGTCTAGAAAGTTCTCTCTTTAAGGAGAAGCAGTAATGCAGCATTTATAGCTGCACACACCAATTCACTGAGCACAGATTTCACAAATTGCAGCACTATTTCTATTCTTTTGGCTGAAAATCAGAGCATTTTAAGTGGTTTTCTTGTCTGGCAAAGAGCCCTTCCAGCTTGAAGGGAAGGTGATTTAGAAAAAGAAAACACACCTACAGTAATTCTATGTAGTCTAATTTTAATTATATCATTGTTAACTATTTTATGTATCTCCAAAAATTCTATTTTCACCTTGCTACCTCTTTATCTCAATGATAAGGAAACACAAGAATATAAATACAAAATTTTACTGGATCATTAATAGCTTTTTTTGTATTTATGCTACATATTAGGGATATTAAATGTAGCAATTAAGGTTTATTGTATTTGCTTACATGAATTTTACATATTTTTACCTTTTTCTAGCAATAGTTTCACATTGAAAGAAAATTATAATATAATAATAATAATAATAAAATATAATAGA